TGATAGGCCACCTTAGGTGAGATGTCAACACCTACAGTTATATTGATATAATAAGCTTGTCATTCTCTTTTAGAATATCATTATAATCATATAGTTAAAAATCAATCCCTTGCTGGTGGCAGGGTATATTCTCTGTTGCACTTTTGACAAATAAAACAAACAATTTGTTCATTGCCAATTTGGGTACCCAAAGAGCCATTGTTGTACAAAGGCCGAAAACAGAAGTATAAAAAAGTACTAAAATAAAATAAAACCTCCTAATCATAAGTTATAGTTATATGAATATGTAGTAGGGGAGACATTTAGATTGATTAATTAATGGATGTTTTATTTGCAGCAGCAAATATTACATGTATATTATTATGAATAAAACATGAGCTTGATGCTAGACACACCATAAGATGGTGACAAGGGAACATATCCATCTAAAAATGGATAATTAACAATAGGAAATGAAAAATCATCTCTTTTATCATAAGTTTTTGTATTAAGCTTCCCGTTAAAGATATAGATATCAAGATACAGGAAAGGGCAGTGTTCATTGTTAGTATTAGCTTTATTTAAAGTCAGTTCAGCAGGATAAATCTCTTTAGTGTTCATACTGTAGTCGTCATTATTGAGAGCCAATATATCATCCAAATACTATAAACCAACTAATTTTTGTGAGCGATTTATTTTCGCGACTTTCGCGAGTAGAAAAATAACGTGAATATTAATCATTGCGAATATGTAAAACTTGGATTTTACCTTATTTAACTACATCAAGTAAATCGTTAAATTAAATTGCCGCAAAGTGGACTAGAAAGGGCTAAATGCGAAATAAACTATACGCGAAAATAAGTTGGTTTACAGTATCTAAAAGTTTTATTAAATTTTTGTATCAGATGTTGTTTCGATGGGTCTTTGCTGATTTTAGTCATAAATTGTTACTCTTAACAATACAGAAACAGGTCCGCAATAAGTGGTGCACAGTTAGTCTTCATTGGAATTTCAATAACTTGATGATATACGGAATCTCCATTGCGAATAAAAATGTTTTCTAGTAAAAATTCAAGTGCAGTTATCGTATCAAAGCAAATCCAATTGACATAGTTTTTTTGTTTGCTGTTACTAAAAATTGACCTAAAAGAGTTTGAACATACATATTCGCATTATGACTTTTTATATGCCCATTTAATTAGGTATGTGAATTTTTCTTAATGAGATTGAGGCAAAGTGGTATACAGGGTAGAAAAATCAAAACTTTGAACAGATTTGAAATCACCAGTATGTGCATGCAATTTATCAAGTACTTCCAACGAATTTTTGACACTCCAAAAGTAATATATTCCACTAATTTCAAAGGCCTTATTTGAACTATTTATTACCAGGTTTTTGATTGAAACCAAATTTACTAGTAAGTAGAATAGACAGTTTTGTAGTGGAACAATGGCTTGAAGACAAAATAAATCTATATTTGTAAGGTGTTTTGTGCAGCTTTGGAAGTCAGTACATAGTTGGAACTTTATATATCTGCTTGTAAAGCTTGTGGAATGTAGGTGAATTTGTGATTTCCTTTTGCAGAACCTCAATGTAAAATTTACGTCAAACAATAATGATATTATTGGCAGCCTTATCAGCCAGGACAAAAACCAATTCCTTGACGAGTTCTTTTGATTTATGTTTGATACCAGAAATAGGGCTATTATGGTTGTTGTTAGGAGTAAAATGTTCTTTAAAATGTTTAATACGAATATCAACTATGTTCATTACTGAATTAAAAAAAGAATCTAAGGATTTTTTGTCAGCTTTTTCTTGTTTTATCCATTTCGTACAGTAAGTACAGAGTTAGTTGTGTATGGTTACGATACTCATTTCAACAACGATGTTAAGGTCTCCTGTTATAACATGGAACTGGGGCCATAAATGTATTTGGAATTACTGCAATTTTATGACGTAGGTGTATTGTCACTAATATTAACATCTTTACACACTTCGCTATAATTAACCACATATTTCCGGGTAGATTTTTTGTAAACATAACAAATAAGAGGGAGCTCAGTATTATCAAAATATCCAGGAATTTGTTCTTTAACGGAATGATCATTAAGAATACCGGCAATATTTACAAAATCAAAACCTTTATTGACTTATTTGATTTTAATGAAATGTCTTTTATGATCTTCACGGCGATCAATTTCGGGAAACAGTTTAGAATAACAATATGCAATTATAATTTGGACGATATTTATACATATTTATCACTTTCTCCTCCATGTTGTACCTTTCTCAAGATGCATCATAATTTCATTGAATGTTGTGGAATATTGGATTAGTAAGGATGACCTTTACATAATGAAGTTTAATTCTATTTCCTCACCAGTCTGTAGAGTTCTCTTGATTAATTTCCAGACAGTTAACATTTTAAGGTGGTAGAAAACAGTAATTGATTAATTAAACAAGAACTGTAAGAATTGTGCATGGTTGCAAAATTTGAAACACCTACTTCAATATTCCTACAGCAGATAATAAATTTTCAGCAATGAAAAACCTATTGGGTGTATTAGTAATTAAAACAAAGTGATTAATTAAATTGATGGTATTTTTATGTTTTGAGAAAATGAAGAAAACTTTCAACTAGTTTTGACAGAGAGGTATTAGAAACTCATGTTATTAAGGACATAAGCTTTTGTAATAGATCTCAAAGGGGTATGAGCTTGCCAGGTTTAAAGTGGATTATGATGCACAAGATACAACTGCTTTAGTTTCAGTCTTGATACAAAGGAATCCTTTAAGTTCCTGAAAGAACACTTCTGTAATTGGGTTGAGACTTTTAAGTTTTGTAGGGCATCTCATATTTGTAAATAATTTTAAACTGAATTTTGTTTAAAAGACTTAGTTATAACTGACATAAAATGACATTTGATTTGTGAATTATTGAACTTTATACAATGTACAGATAAGTTTGAATTCAATTAAACATACCCCTACCAAGACCAGTGGATAGTTCTTATTAACTGTTGGTGAAGTATGCTAATGAAAAAGTTGCCTTATAATCAGTTTATTGATCTAGGTTTAGATATATGTTATTTTAGTTCTCAGAGTAGGTATATAAGTTTTGACAACTTGCAAATCATAAATTGTGTTATAGAAGTGCAGCTGTACTCCTGGCAGAATGCCTGTTCAATGTAGGACTACTGCCGGTTATTGCAGTTCTATGTTTATTTGGTTTAAGTTTTTATCATCAGTTGTTTGGGAATACAACCATTAATAGTAAAGGAAGCTTATCTCATAAATTATCAAAGTACTGAAGTACTGAACATCGGATGACCACAAGTTCTTGAGGATGGTCAAAAGCACTTGTCTCAGAAAAAAAACCAACATATCTCTTTACCTGAAACTGAGGTTAATGAACAGAGATATATTTTTTTCTAGACAAGTGCGTACGAGTATGATGAATAAATGACAGGAAATTCAACTTCACCGTAATAACTATTATATTGTAGTGATACAAATCAGTATACACTGATTTGTTGTTATATACTTATATTAAAATAACAGTTACATATATATATGATTTGCATCCGTTTGTATATCATTCTATTCTACTGTTCTAATAATAGTGCAATGCAAGTGCATGGTGGACACTTTTCTGTAAAAATTCGATTTTTCTAAGATTGGATACGAGTAGGCATTCATATTTTCCCGCAAAAACAATTACAGAGTTACCGGTCCTGTCGCAAAACGTTCTTTGAGATATTCTTCCGCATGCTTTAACACAATTTTTCGGTACGTGTGCTTTGATATTATCAATGATTTTTTACTTATATATATATATCTAACTACAAAACATTTTCACATTATTAATTTATGTTGTAAACAAAAATATTTTTATCAGTATTCATTGAAGAGATGTATTTATATCAAATGACAAGGAATGTTATTTTGCACTCGTTTATGTGCGCATATTTATCATGTTTATAGATCGGTTACAAACCCAAAACTAATTTACATAATGGAAATCTAGGCGATAGCAATACACCGGAATGACCTCAAGGTCATCGCGATGTAAAAATGTTCTCTCTTCAAAGTGAAACAGGTAAAAGGCTATCCAATTTTATGTTTCAAGAACACTGTAAATGGATATAACTAACAACCGTAGTTATATAATTGAAGTAGTGAAACCATTTTTAAAAAGTTTCAGCCATTCTCTGCCTTCTTCAATTCTTTTATTATTCTTCTAACCTACACCACAAGTCACTTTTTTATTTAAATTTCTACACCAGAAAGTTACATTAATAATGAGCTTTGATGTTTTATAATGTCCAGTGGCAAATATTTAATGCATTTTCAAGATGAGCCATTCATTTTAATTCAGTTCAAAAATAAATTTCAATAAAAGTATTCATAGCTAATGGTCAGGAAAAACAGACAGAATGGTTATTCTATCTTATATTTTGACATTTCTTCTAGTAATGTTCAGATCATTTTAATATTATTTGAACTTTTTATTCATTGAAACAGTAACAATAGTTAATGGGGAACATGGTTTTGTTGTTCATCAAACCATAAAATCGGAGGCAATTTTTCTTTTGGTTTTTTGTGTGCAAAGGCTGAAAACATGAAATCCAAAACCCAACAACTTTGTGATTATTTTCACAAAGCATAGAAATTTATGAGATATCATATGAAGTACTGTATTTTGGTAACAATGGAAAAGTTATAGAGAGGAAGTCAAACAGATTGACAACAAAGTTATTCTATTGACTTGAGTTTGATACAATGAAATAGTGGTGAAGATGTCAAACAGATTGCTTCTTATATATTCTACTGACTTGGTTTGATGCAATCAAATAGTGGTGAAGATGTCAAACAGATTGCTTCTTATATATTCTACTGACTTGGTTTGATGCAATCAAATAATGGGGAAGGACCAAATAATTTGTTTGATTTTTAGAGCAAGCATAGTGAGACTTTTCAATTTATATATTTTTGTAATTTATATATTTTTGTAATTTCAGATGCTAAGGCTTTGTTTCCTGATATCCTGAACTTGGCCACCCGTTCTAATATAACAACAAATGCCACATGTGGACTTCAGGGAAAAGAAAAATTCTGTAAATTAGTGGAACATGTCAAAATTTTTCCTGGGGAAAATCGACATTGTGATGTATGTGATGCCAGAAGCCAAGATAGACGTCAGCAGCATCCTATCTGGAATGCCATCGATGGAAGTAACAGGTGGTGGCAAAGTCCATCATTGACCAATGGTGACAAATATAACTATGTCACAATTACACTTGATTTAAAACAGGTAGGAAAAATTAAATATATCTTACAGAAATAAAGATTAGTCTTTTGAAGAAAAAAATCGAAGCAATTTTGGATATAAAGGGTAAGTCATGTAATGCACCATGAACTAAGATTTCAATCTTAAGGAGAGATTTTACTGTAAATGCCCTTTTCCAATCCAAAATATAATGTCCATTTTGAAAGCCCTAAGGTGTTTATGAAACTAAGAAATCATAAACAGATAATAAATATTGCATTCACCTTGTCAGTCCTTCTGACCATACATCAGTACTTCCAACGGTTATTTCTGTCACACTTTTCTCAGGTACTACTGAACAGATTGACTTCATATTTTTTAGCAGCTTTAGAGGGACAATTTGTAATATGAGCACTTTTCAGATCTGCCATGCAGTTACTTACTTCCTGTCTGCCTATACTTTGAATTTTTCAATATGTTGAATGAAATTAGAATTTACCATCACACATTTATCCAGTACTTCTGAACAGAATGATTTCATATTTGGTCAGCGTCTTGGCACATTGGAGCAGGATCTGCTTACCCTTCCAGAGCACCTGAGATTACCCCTAGTTTTTGTTTGGGTTTGTGTTGCTCAGTCTTTTGTTTTCTATGTTGTGTTTTGTATACTGTTTTTTTATCATTTTTCTTTTTTTGCCATGGCATTGTCAGTTTGTTTTTGACTTATGAGTTAGAATATCCCTTTGGTATCTTTAGCCAGTCTTTGGCAGTCATGGGTTATAAAGTGTGAGAACTTTTTAGATAGGCATCACCTATTTCCTGTTTTTGGATACTTTAAATTAAGAATGGGTGTATACTTAGCCCATCAATGTGTGCAACTGTTGCATTTTATAATGATTCAATAAGCATCTGGTATTTAAATGAAACTCTTACCACTTGAGTACAATTTCATGTAAGTCAATATAATTTACTTTATTCGACATATGCAGTTTTAGCTGACAAAACTAGAATTACCAAAGGAAGCAATGTTAGAAATAAATAGTGAGCAAAGTCATTGAAATTTTAGAATAAGGTTGAAGTATTATTTTGAAATTGCAAGAACCTGTTTAAAGGTACCAGGAATCCAGAATAGATTGAACAGAACAATATGTATATAATGACAAAAGATGTAAGAACTGGAATATCTGTTGCTATATCTTAAAATCAGATATTATAAAGATTGATTGATTGTTGATGTTTTTTGCCATATCAGCACAAAATGGCTATATTGAGGTGATAATATTATGACAACAGAACCGAAATAGCTGTAAATCAATGTTGAACTTAATGATTTTTAAACACTACATCATCATGGGACTTCACCAATTTAAATCATTCTTATTTTAGAATGATTATAATTTATTGTATTGTCTTTTTTATATTCATTCTTAGATTGAATAAAAATGTAGATTTTGAGCTTTGAACTGTTAACTATTAATCAGTATTGAATTTACATTTTGTGAATCAGCAAAAAGACAACCATCCCTTACCTGTGCATTTGAGTCATAAAATATGTGTGTTAAAAAATAAGTGTTGTACAAACAAGAAACACTCTAAAACCAGACAACACTACATGTATGTGTCCTAAATATTGATCTTTATTCAATTTGTAGAAAGTTTTCTGCATATAACAGGCTTTGAAAAGAAAAATAAATTTTTACTTCATTCTAAAACAAAATGTTAATGTAATTACTTCTAGTAAGATGTTAATGTTGAAGGGAGGTCAGGATCAAAGTTATAGATGATGTCCAACAAATTCTAATTTTTCGTAAATTGACATACATATGACATATACATGCACATTTTCAAAGACATTTTGGAGTTCCATTGCTCATTTTTACACGAGAGGCACTAATATGTCAGTATGTAGTTTTCCCCCTCCAATTCAAAAAGGATAAAAAGTGATATATCAATTAAGGAAAAAGATAAAAATAAGAAGACATGGTATGATTGCCAATGAGACAGAATTAACTCTTCACCAGAGATTAAATGATGTAGAAGTCACAATTATAGGCCACCATATGGCCTTTAACAATGAGCAATACGGTACCCATACCGCTTAGCAAGTCATTAAAGGCCCCGAAATGACAAATATAAAACACTTCAAACAGGAAAACTATCAGCCTGATATATGTACAAAATTTTAAACAAAAAACAAATATGATAAATAGCAACAAATGAAAGTCCCTGAATTATAAGCTCCTGACTTGATCAGAAAGGATTATGTTACAATTTGTTGGGAACAGTTGTATTAAGCTCTCATGGTGCAGTTGTTCATTTGCATATATTACTAAATGCTTGTATGATTTTCCGTTTAATACATATAGTAATGATTTATTTTTGAAAGGTACATGTTCATGAATGCCTTAATTAGGCCCCAGAATCAAAATATAATTCAGTGCAGTAAATAGGCAGCTGTATGTTCCAATGTGTACATACTGATTCAAAAAGTTCAATATATAGATCAAGCTGTCTTTGAAACTTGATATTCCAGATTTTATGGAAATATCTTTTTCTCATGTGTTTACATAAGATATATTCTTTCATAAAACACTAGACACACTTTGTGACCATAGTGAATTTGTGCTTTCAAAAATAATATGTAAACTGAAAAATAAGATACATATTCTCACAAATATATTTTCTTTAGGCAGAATATACGGCCAATGTTATCAAATAAACAACAAAAAAAAAACATTTAGCAATGGCACAAAATTTAGTCCAAAATATGTTAAAATTTAAAGTCAGAGCACATACATGTAGGTAAGATGCCATAATGACAGTATAAATAAAAAAAAGTATAAAAACAAGTTGTATAGTGGTATAATTCCAAGATAAAATTGTCATTGATTTTCAGGGCCATCATTAAACCTAAGTAAAAGGACTAGTAGGGTTAAAGGCATATGTGTAGTAGGATGTCCAAATTGATATTTATAATTTTTCTTAAATTTTAAAATAGGTTACAATCTGACTGTTGTTAAAAAGAAACTTTATTGTTGATAGACTGAATTAACACAGAGGCCTTATTTCATGAAAAAAATTGACCTTGCTATTAGTTTTGCCAGGTCAACCTTAGAATGGGATAAAGTTGGTTATTCTATTAACTTACTGTAATATGTTATAGAAACATCTTATATAATAAATTGACTTTCCTGTGATATAATGAAATAAGTGTTTCACTCTTTATTAAATAAATTAAAATGAAATCAATTATGATCAGATGAATCATTACAACACAGGTGTTTATGTTCATATTTTGTGAATGGTCTATTCTTGTTAGTCTATTTTGTAAATTTCTAACAAATATTGTCATTTGAGAATCAAAATTTAAGAGCATAAGTTTGTATTTAAGGGAGCTCTGCATGATATAGTTTGGAAACACTTTCTTTTTTTCTTATCACTGTGTGTCATCTTGACAAAATTACTGACTTGTATCATTGTAGTCAACATCTATGGAGCATTATCAGATTTCGCTTTCCAAAAACATTACAGACCTGTTGGAGAAATAATTCATTTATATTTGCATTTACTGGATAATGTTTGCATTTCAAAATTTTTTATCAACCCATCATTATATAGTTTTACATTTTTTAAGGCTGACTTTTGAATCGTTGACTAATGACAGCTATTGTGAAAAAATTGAGAATAAAAAAAATAGAATTTAACTATATAAATAAGGAGATGTGGTATGATTGCCAATGAGACAACTATCCACCAAAGACAAAAGGAAGGGGAGGTAAACCACTATAGAGCACTGTACAACCTTCTACAATGAGCAAAACTCATAAGCTATTGTAAGCTATAAAAGGCCTGACATGACAAAATTTGAAACAATTCAAAAGAGAAAACAAACAGCCTGATTTGTGATGATACAATAAACCAAAACAAAAAAGGCATACAACAACAACAACCTCTTAGTAATTGGCTTTGGGACAAACCATAAAGATTATCTTTTTCAAGTTCACTCCCCTGGTAGGTTGTGCCATATTCTCTGAGTGAGAAATCCTGGATTAATGCAAAAACTTTTCATATGGTCTTGATTTTTTGTCGAGCCTGCGACTTCTGTCACAGAAAGCTCGACTTAGGGATAATGATGCGGTGGAGGCGTTAACTAACTTCTTAAAAGCTTAATTTTTCAGAAGGTAGAAGACCTGGATGCTTCATACTTTGTATATAGATGCATTATGATATGAAGTTTCCGTCATATGTTCATTGTCCATGACGTCATTTTCATGGTTCAGTGACTACTTGAAAAAAAAAGTTAAGGTTTTTTGTTATTTTAATTTTTCTCTTTTTATGAGTAATAGGAGAACTATATTTGGTATGTGTGTACCTTGCAATGCCTGTCAGACAGTTTTTACTTGACCAGTAGACCTCATTTCATGGATCAGTGAACAAGGTTTGGTTTTCGTGGTTGTCCATATCTCAGATACTATAAGCAATAGGTCTACTTTATTTGGTGTATGTAATGATTGTAAGGTGAACATGTCCAGCTGGCAGGTGTCATCTGACCTTGACCTCAATTTCATGGTTCAGTGGTAAAAGTTAAGTTTTTGTGTTTTGGTCTGTTTTTCTAATACCGTACTCAATAGGTCGACTCTATTTGTATGGAAATATTTTATGATGTACATGTCAGTCTGGCAGGTTTTATTTGACCTTGACCTCATTTTCATGGTTCATTGGTCAATGTTAAGTTTTTGTGTTTTGGTCTGTTTTTCTTAAACTTTAAGCACTAGGTCAACTATATTTGGTGTATGGAATGATTGTAATGCTTTTATGTCTGTCCGGCAGGTATCATTTGACCTTCACCTCATTTTCATTATTCATTGGTCAATGTTCAGTTTTCGTGGTTAACTTTTTTTTCTTAGATACTATTAGCAATAGGTCAACTATATTTGATGCATGGAATGATTTTGAATTGTACATGTCTGTCTGGCAGGGTTCATCTGACCTTGACCTCATTTTCATGGTTCATTGGTCAATATAAAATTTCCATGGTTTGGTCT